CCCTAAAGGGAACCTAAAAACTCCATCTTAAATGAGGGGAGTGAAAGAAGCAGTGCAAATACTCCTTTCAACCCTGAGTTACCACCTTGGCATAATTTCTTAAAATTAAAATACTCTCAGAAGATAAATACAGCTACCTTGATTATATCACCTTCTCTTACCAGTAAGGAGAAGTATGTACAGTAAGAAGTCACTAATACTGCTACTGTTTCTACCTCAGCATCCTTTGCCCGGCTGCTGCCCACAGAGAAATACAATGTTAAGGTGCTATGTTGCAATGTATGTGGCTGATCTAGTTTCTAGGATCCACAACGTAGAGACATTACATGTGGAATGTCTATGATTTCCATTAGCCTCGAGGTTCTTTTGTTCCCCTGCATAATGAATGCATATACATTGGGTATCTGCTTAGGTGGGTACTAGGGGAGGTGTTCTTTTCAGGCAATATTAAAAGAAATGTAAGCTTTAGCCCATACATCTAACCTTATGCTTCTTTAACTCACAAGGCACTCCATAAATCTTTGTTAATTTATCAATTTAATCAAGATATATCTTTTGCACTGGCAGATTTAAAGAAGAAAAATTAACAAAACCAATTGTGATTTTTATCAAATTTATTGATAAGTTTATAGCTATTTTATACTGGTTAGTACAGCACTGACCACCCCAAAATACCTTTGTGACAACACAAATGACTGTGCTTTTAATGGAATGTCCCAAATAGATGTCATATAGATGTTTTACATGCAAGCTAAGCATCATTTCCCTGGGATGGAGAGATGATAGACATTGTACTAACATTTCCCTTGGAAGTTTTGAAATGTTAATATCTCAATATATAAGCTTTTGATTGAAGGTCCCATTTTATCACAGCATCTTAACAGTCAGTGTCTGGTGCAGTCAAAATTCACTAAAAGCAAACTTACACATATCTTTTGTGGAGAAATTTTCTTTGCTAAATATTCAATAGCTCTATTTATGCTCTTTATTTTACAGAATCTTTGTACATACATTTCCCCTCTCTCCCTTCCGAGGGAAAAGTTCATTCACTGATCTTAGATCTTTGAACTTACGGTGACAATATTATTTAAATCACAACATATACCTTAGTAGTAATTCTCCTACATTCATAGAGTTCCACAGATTTTATTAAGAACTGTCACCTTATTGAAATTTTTCCAAAGGTGGAGTTTAGCTGGATGATTTGAGAAGAAAAAAATCTAACTAGAACCACAAGGATGAACGGGCTGCTTTTCCTAGACATGCAAATAACAGCAAGGTACCATTACAGTTGTTCTGAATTAGTCGTACAACTTTGCATTTGGAGAAATGATTTAGAACTAAATATGAAAATGTCCTCTACTCTCATAGTTAATATTAGAATATTAATTTGTATCTGTTCTGAAACATGTTTTAAGAAACAGCTCTGAAGAAAGAGAGAAGAGATAGAAAGAGACAGAGTCAGAAAGGCAAGAGACAGAGGTAAAGTCAGATATACAAAGTCAGTTTACATAAGACTCGACATTACAACTGTAGTTATACGAAATAGGTTTTAAGAGTAATTCATGAAAGAACTAAAGATAATTAAGAAACAGCTTATGTTTACATATCCTAGAAAAGAATAATTTCTTTTCAGATCTGTTTATGTTGTTAGAATCTTCTTCTGTTTAGAATATATTTTACTTTCCAAAGCACCCTGACAGATGCTTGTCTTAATTTATTGTTCCCCAGTATTAGGATAAAGGAATGGCTTGAGGGATAGATTAGGGCTACCAACTCACAGAGAATCAGAGCTAAATCACTCCCGAGCATAAAGTAGCTAGAGGTGGCTATGAGAAAGGATAAATAGTAGGCAACAAAGAGGAGGAGGAAGGAGATGACCGCTTTCAGGGCTCCTGTGTGGGCCTCTGTGCTGGGGTCTCTGCACCCTGTGGCATTGAGTCTCATTTGTCTCATGTGTCTTAGCAGAGAGAGGATCAGGAGGAGAAAAGAGATCAGGGACACAGAAATGGGGAGCAGCGTTAACAAGTTGAGAGCTATCTTGGTGGAAGTATAATCATCTTTATTTACTCTGCATTTCAAGGTAAAGTTTGCTTTCCACCTTGCCTTGGTCTTGACACAAGACCTGAAATCATCATTCAAGTTCTCAGTGACTGGAAGGCTAATAAACACAGAGAAGGCAGAGCACCCCAGTAGAATCCAGACAATCACCCGGTCAATTCTCCACTTCATCCAGAGGAAGAGCGGGTGGAAAAAATTAGCTATCTTGAGGAAATAGAAAATGCTGAGGCAAGTTGCAAACCAGACGTTCAAGTGGTTGCTTAGTGTCCAGAAGAAGTCAATGATTTTCATTTGTTTACCGGAGACATAGACGTCTGGATACAGTATCAATATAAAACAATCTAACAGTACTATGCACAGTAGACAAATTCTGGATACAGCCAGGCTTGTGAGGATTAAATCAATGGAGGCAATCTTCCTATTTTTGAGCCAGTCCAGGAAGTTTACTAATCCAATAAATGCATTTCCTAAGATCCCCACTGAAAACTCTCCAGTTGCTATGACCATTAATGTACTCTCCACTTCTCCTGGCATATTTAAATAGAGACACATGCAATGTTTCTAGATGACCTGATTTTGCTATAATTTTCTTTACCTCTTCATTGTAGTCTATCTTGTGATGGAGACTGGAAGGTTAAATGAAGACCGCAGCTGATTAGTCTTGACAAACAATGGGTTTGGAGATCCTTGGTCTGGACAATATATGGACATTTGCCTTCTCAGCAGGTTGTACTTTTCCATGCCTGGTTACTTTAGGCTGAGCTACTTACTGTTTACCAAGATGCAAATTGGGCCAATTCCTTTTCACAGTCCTATACTGTTCTACTGAAGCTAACTTGTGCAAATTTTGGATTCATTAATCTGAGATTCATACTACTAACCTTAACACATTATTGACTGATCACAAGTTACCTAGTAACATGGGTAATTTCTGTGTGATAATGCTAATCAACAATGGGGTTGCCAGATGTGTCAACTAAAAATGCAAGACACCCAGTTAAACTTGAGTTTCAGGTAAATAACAAATGGTTTATTTTTCAATGCATATGCCAAATTCACAAGATCAATGCTTCCAGGAAGTACTGAGGATTAAATTGAATTATTATATGAGACAATGTATCTTAATATAGTGCTTTGTAGGACTTAGAAGACTGTGTCTTCCCTGTTGCTGTTCCCTCTCCCTAGATTCCATCTTTTATGCCGACCACCAGCACCAACTCCATTCACTGCCCTTTCCTAACTTGTTAACTCCTTCAGGTCCTTTTGGACTCAGCTCTAATAAAGCCCTTCCTGGAGGCCTTCCTCATTTCTGTTTCTTATTTTTATGCCTTTCCTTTTGTCATCCGTTGCTATTTCCTTCTTTCCCAGAATACTTATCAGAAGATATTATAATTGTAGATTAGTTTATTTGTTTCCTTCCCACAAACAAGAACTCTTTGAGAGCCATGGCTGAGTCATGTCATGTTCTTGTTATATTTCAATTTCTACTGAGGCATAGTATGCACTCAATAATTACAAGTTGAATGGATGAATGAATAAACAAAAGAATTCACTATCTTAATTCAGTAACATTTAACGGCTACTTATTTTGTGATGCTATATATAAAAAAGATTGTTGATTACCTTTAGATATTTTCCTTTTCATTTAAAACATTCCCAAGGAAGCTTTGGGAAGTGGCAGAAATGTCTTTTACCTTGATTGTGGTGATGGTAACATGTGTATTTGACTAGGTCCAATTTATCAAATTATACACATTAAATACATGCAGTTCTTTGTATAGTCAATGTACCTCAGGAAAGCTGTTTTAAATTAAAAATAAACTGTTCTAGAGGGCAGTTGTAGGGAGTAAGATGCTTTATTTCATTTTCTCCACTCTTCTCACACCAAATAGCATCTGAGTACATGAGTCACTATGAAAGTTTTGAGACAGGCTATGTTATTATTCATTATTTTTCTTCCAAGAAATACAGTTGATAGTATCCTTTCTGATTCACGGTCCTATACTGTTTTACTGAAGCTAACTTGTGCAAATTTTGGATTCATTAATCTGAGATTCATACTACTAACCTTAACACATTATTGACCCATGCAAATTTCAACTTGCTTGGCTTATTGGTGTTGCTGGAAGGGCTTCATTTGTTTCTATTCATGCAGATTTTACATTTCTTGATTTTTGTGTCTCTCAAAACTTTTGTAATGACCCATGAATTTAGATCCTTAGCCTTCCCACCAGGAAACTGAAGATTAAATATGCTATACCCCTACAGGCTAATGCTTATTTGAAATAGCCTCTTTAGTATAGAATTATTGCAAAACAATAATTACTGCATGATATTATTTACTGCATGACATTTTCATGTGATAATTTTTGGACAGAGGTATCTTCCTAGAAATACATGTTTTCTTTCATCCTTCCTTCACAGACAATCCTTTTCTGAGTTGGAGCCCTGAGTTTCAAACAAACTTCATGATCGTGTAGCAATTGTTCAGAGGCGACTGCTTTCCTCTGATCTTAGAAATGAACCCTGATCCATATCACTTCTACCGGTATCCTGGTAATTGAAGTGCTCACAGTAACTATGGTCACATCGTCACCCAAATATTTTTTAGATTAATTTTTTCTGTTATGTTTTAAAAAATAAGTATAGGTTTTGTTTGTCAGTATCATATAGCAGGCAAATTATGAGAATACTATAGTTAAGAAAAAAATATTCTACATGATAGCATTTTGTCACAGGCTTACTACTTTGAACCCTAGGCATTGTGGTCACTGGAGATACTTAAAACATTGGAGATTAAGAAAACGAAACATAGAAGAAAAACCTTCAGACTAATAGAGTGACACTTTCTCAGATGTACTAATCCTATAAAGCAGGGGTCCTCAAACTTTATAAACAGGGGGCCAGTTCACTGTCCCTCAGACCATTGGAGGGCCAGACTGCAGGCCCCGGGATGAGTTGGCTGCTAAGTAGGACAGGCAGCGGTGGCAAAAACACCCGGTGGGCTGGATCAATGTCCTAGGTGGGCCACATGTGGCCCGCGGGCCATAGTTTGAGGACACCTACTATGAAGCATTTATTTCATTTAAATCTACAGAAAAATATAAAGTTTATTCTGGCATAGAATTTACAGGTAAAATATATTAACATATTCCATTTAAAACATGAATTCTCCTGATTTGAACAACAAATACGAACATAAATAGTTAGCATGTTAGAAATATAGTTGATAAAATTTATAGACTTAGAGCAATGCGTGTCTGTATTTTACAGAGTGGATCTTACTTACCAGTAAGAAAAACAATTGACAATTTCAACTAATTAGCATTCTAGTCCTAATAAAAGGAAATGAGTGCATTGAAATATATGAGAATTAGATGTAGAACACGGTGGGAGTAAAAGCAAAAATCTGACCAGATCAGAACACACACAACCTGAGACATGACAGACCGAATGTTTTAATAATAGTACTGCTAGGAGAAATTGGATGCTCATTGTAGAATTAACGTTTATTAATGATTCATTTTTCTTCTTTTTTTTTCTTTTTTGTAATTTTCTTTGTATTTGTTATAGACATGCATTGATTCTTTTAGTGACAGCATGTGGTTATTTCATTTCTTCCCAATTAATTTCTATTGTTAAATACTGAGTAAAAATCCTTGCAGGGTCTTGTTAACAGAACCCAACATCAGTTATTCCCATCCTTTCATCCAGATTGTGAAGTATGTTTAGCAGCACCCTTTGGGAAATGCTTGAATGAGTTTATTTCCTACTCAGGTGCTGCCTGAAAAGCAAGTTATTTGAGAAGAAATTTAATTTAGGAAAATGAATAGAAAGTTCCAGAATAAGGACAACCAGAATATATTACTGGGAGACCTCCCAAAAGCATCAATCATGAAATTGAAGCAACAGACAGGCCAGGGAAGATCTGAGTTTCTAGTTAATAAGCCAGTGAGAGTGATTCAGCAGAGCCATGAAAAGAGAACAGTTAAGGGCCAGTTTGATAGAAAAGAAAAGCCAGTAAGTGTAGCTCAGGTACACTTTACCTTGGGCCAAAGTAAAAGCTAAAAAGAATTTAACTAGGCAATACGTGCCTAATGTTTGCATTGAGAAGAGAGGTAGAGACCCATGAGCTCAGGAATTCTTGGAGGGAAGGGCGTATTAACATGAGCATGACTGGATTTTAAAGAGGCAGAAAGGATGGATTCTTTCGTTTGCTCACAGGTCCTGATAATAGTTAAATATATGAATCCCAAAGAAAAAAAAAACAGCTGGGAAAGAAATGAGAACAGACCTATAAGAAAGTTGTATTTTTAAAATTAGGTAATAAGATTTGCTTTTCAAGTCCATTTGTAAAACTAAGATTCACTTCACGCAGGCTATTTTTCTCCACATGGGCATTCTGAAAGATGCCTGCCTCAACCTGTCACTTATAATAATTAAAATAAGTGAATGACCCCGGGGTAGAGAGTTGCTAAAATCTCACTAAACATCATGACTAACGTGTATTCTGTCATAAAATAGCTAAAGGTCAGCAAAAGAGAAAACACATAATATATAAACAGGAAGAAGAGAAACAAAGTCACAATTTTTATGGCTCTCACATAGGTCTCTGTGTTGGGGTCTCAATAGCCTGTAGCATGGACATTCATTTGCTTAGTATGTCTCCACAGGGACCTTACTGAAAGCAAAACTGAGCTCAGTGACACAGTAAATGGAACAATTACAAACAGGCTGAAGAGAGTCAATCGCTTGAAGTATTGAGAGTTACTCACATGGAACATTTATTTCAGTGTTGTTACTTTACAAAACCTATCATCAAGATTCAGTACCAATGCTATTAGAAAGCTGACCAGCAAGGAAATGGCAAGGCACCCCAATCAGTGAACCACCCTGTCAATTTTCTACTTCACCCAGAGAAAAAGAGAGTGGGAGAAATTGGCTATCTTGAGGAAACAGAAGACATCGAGGCAGGTAGCAAACCACAAACTTAAGTAGTTGGCAAATGTCCAGAAGGTATAAATTACAATCATGAGTTTGTTACTTTCATAAACATCTGTGTGAAGTACTATTAATATGCCATGCAGAACCATTGCAATCCAACCAATTCACTTAACTAGTGCAAGGTATCCATTCCCCAATATGCTATTATGAATTCTTTAGTAATTAGGATAATAAAGATGTTTTATTCAGCAAGAAACATTATAGAGAAAACAATCTGAGCTCAAATATCACTGTAGATGAACTAATTTACAGATGACTTGTTGGAGTGTGATAAATAAATTCTTCAAATCATGCAATAGTGTTTTCATCTGTCATTATTTTGACTTTAATATCACTCCAGAAGTGTCCAGCTCTCCTCTGAAATAAAATTGTTTCTACATTTTTGAAGACTAATGCAATAGACTGTTCCAGACACACAGCTTGTCTAGTTATTTATAGGTTGGAAAATTTTTAATTATTACCCTTACAGAGTGATAACTGAAATGACTGGCTGAAATTTCTCTCATGCAAATTCAAAGAGATTTTATTTCATGAATTTGCAATTGCCTTCTTGCTTCAGTTCTGTATGTTTGGACCCAACAAATTTGAGTTTGGAAGAGGGAGTCACAAAAAATAAACAAACCCACAAATGTTTGATAAAAATCAAAATATGTCAATAAAACTTCAATTTTCATCACCATAAATTATAAATTACTAACAAACCAGGTCTCCTAGGTGGAAATGAATTTTCATTTTGAAAACGATTTATACAATCATAGATTGCAGAAAGTTAACATTTGGTCAGAGGATAACAATTTTTTGTCTTCGTTTAAACAGTTAGTTAAGGCAAGATGTGATACAAATATAATTAGAAATTTCAGTGTGACTAGGCAAGCACGTGGCAATACTTGCCAAGAATTTGTTCTCTCTGAAGTTGTTTTTTTAGAAATAAAAGTTGCTAGATAAATTTATGATCTTTAGTTTTATTTCATATGAGAAATACTCTCCAAGACAATTTACTTCCTAAAACAAGATCTCACGGATAAAAGCATTTTAATTTAAAATTAAGGAAATTTCCACTTTATTGTAGTTGTAATCAACTCCTTATGACCTCACAGTATATATTACAGTTATACCTATATATGGGGCAATCGCATTAAAAAATATTTTTTACTAAACAATATTTTCAGAAAATAGGACTCATTCCTATTATACACATACGTATGTGTATAATATGTAATAGAAAAGCCTTAAATTAATAACTTAAATAAACCTAGTTATCTATAAAATATTACTGGAAACAAAGCAGAAAAGAAAGTGATGCAAGAGAAATAAATGTTAGAGATTTCTGAGTTGGAAGGAAAGGTAGAGAAAACATTCTAAGAATCTTCAGGAATTGATGCCTAAAATTGCTACTGGCAGCTAGGGGCACTCATGACACAACCTGACCATTGAGATTCTCAAACTTTTTCTCAAGGTGGTTGGTCCTGGTCTACCCATTCCTAACTGTACCAACTCCCTCTCCTGGTCAAATTTTCATTTTCGAGATCATACTTCTTTTCTCCCATCATATATCATCCTATGCAGAATCTCACCAAAAACTGTTTTTCTCCCCTTTTGGTCAGGACAAACCTTTCCAAAAATGAAGGAGATAGGACAGGTAAAGATAAGAACTAGTTTTCAGTTCAAAGCAGAGAGTTTTTTACATGGTTTATTTTACAGGAAAGGCTAATAATGCATACGCTCTCTTCCCTATGGCCCATTTGCCTGAAATTTTCCTACTCATTGAGTTCAAGATCTTTGCCAGTATCTATATGCCAGAAAGAAACGAAGGAGAACCTCTTTGCATTTAGTCAATAACAAGATGTTAGTGTGGGATTTAGATTCATTTTTCCTGTGAAGACAAAGAAAACGTGCTTCAAAGATAACATTAGATTTAAAACTAAACAAGACAGAAATGTGAAGGAAAACAAGGAAAATCTTTAGAATTATGATATATGTTAATGATTTCCAATAACATATAAGAAAAAAAATGAATGAAACCCATGTGGGAGAAGGGAGAAAGTCTATTGTTGCTTTCGCTCTCCTTGTACTGGGGATAGTCCCTAGGGCTATCCCTTCCTTTGTGGAAATTCTTCACAAACCTTAACACCTTCAGTAAAGCTTCTCCCAGCTTATTGTTTCCCTTGATCAGGATGAATGAATGACTTGATGGGGAAATGACAGTTACTATGCTATCGATTATCACCAATTTTCTCTGACAAATTGGCAAGCCAGAGGTTATTATGAGAAAGACTGCATACTACACAGTAAGGAGGAGCAGAAAGACAATTGCTGCCCTCATGGCCCCATGTGGGCTTCTCTGCTGGGCTCTCTGGGCACCGTAGCATGAAATTTTATCTGGTTAGTGTGCCTACATAGGAAGAAATGTAACAAGAAAAATGAGATCAGGCAAGAATAAAGGGGATGATGCCTCTCAGGTTTAAGGTTATCTGTTTGGAAGCACTTGGAATTTTACTCAGTTTGGATTCCCAAGTATTGTTTTCTTCACAGCTGGCCTTGAAGATGCCACATATCATGTATTGAAATGCTAATAATTAAGGAGATAAGAGAGGACCCCAGAAGGATCCCAAAGATAACACTGGTGACCCTTAGCTTCAGCCAGAAAAAAATGAGTGGGATATATTGACTATCTTGAATAAACAGCAGATGCCAAGGCAAAAAGGAAACCAGGCACTGGGATTATTGGCAAGCGTCCAGACAACATCCAAAATGCTTGGCAGGTCACCATTCTCATACCCATATGTATACAGAGAGAGCAGCATAATGAAGCCATTAATGATATTACACATAACAGATTCTGGAGATGGCCAAGCTGATTAGGATGATGCCAGTCAAGGAGATATCTCTTCTCTTAAGCCAGCCAATGCCGTTAACTAGTGCAATGTATCAATTTCCTGAAATCCCTATAGGCAATTTACCAGAAGCCAAAATCATATATTTTGCTTGTATTGTACTTGGCATGTCAGCAGAGAGTTCTGATTTTGAATATCGTTGATGATGAAATGACTTTCAGCTGACCAGTGAAGAAAGTGTTTCTGTTTGGCACTTAGGTCTTGCTGAAATTTTCTTTACCCCTCCTCTTTGTCAGCTGCAATCCAAGTCAAGAAGACAGCTTGTTCTGCTCTGGGCTAGAGACTTCACTGATGGAGGCCAGTAATTTCCTTTTTGTACAATGACACTTGAAAAGCTCAAAGATGCACATAGGAATGGATTTGGTTTCTCGGATTTGCACAATATTTCTCATTTTAAGTGCTGTCTGTTTTTGATTCATCAATCTGAGCTATTGACCAAAAGTTTCAAGAAAGAATTAATTGTTTGGAAAATATGGATAAAATTTAATTTGGAGATAGACTATTTGGTCAATATATTGATACATTTGTCCCTATTATAGATTCTGGGTTTAATGTCTTAGCTTGTATAGACAGTTTATTCTTTGGTTGAAGAAATATTTTTTTTCATTTTTTATGTTTATTAAATCATAAACACATACATAGATCATGTATACATTAGTGCATTTATGGAGTACGATGTGCTGATTTCATAGAATTAGTAATGCTTATGTCACACTGGTTAATATATAGCTCATCTTGTTTACTTAATTATTGTGTTAAGACATTTATACTCTATACTTAATAGATCCGACATGTACCTTTGCATTATGCACCATAGGTGTGATCCCACCATTCACCCTCCCTCAATCTGACCTCCCCTTCCCCTTCCACCCCCCTCCTCCTTCCTTTATCCTGGGCCATAATTGTGATCTATTGTTCATATGAAAGTGTGAGTGATTGTAAATTGGTTTCATAATAGTACTGAGTACGTTGGATATTTTTTCTTCCATTTTTGAGATACTTTACTACATAGTATATGTTCCAGCTTCATCCATGTAAATGTAAAAGAGGTAAAGTCTCCATCTGTTTTTAAGGCTGCATAATATTCCATAGTATACATATACCACAATTTATTAATCCATTCATGGGTCAGTGGGCACTTGGGCTCCTTCCATGAGTTGGTTATTATGAATTGAGCTGCAATGAACAATCTGGTGCAAATATCTTTGTTATAAAGTGATTTTTGGTCTTTTGGCTATATACCTAGTAGACAAATTGCAGGATGAAACAGCAGGTCTACTTTTAGATCCCTGAGTATTCTCCATACTTCTTTCCAAAAGGGACATATTAGCTTGCACTCCCACCAGCAGTGCAAAAGTGTTCCCTTTTCTCCTCATCCATGCCAACATCTGTGGTTTTGGGATTTTGTTATGTGAGCCACTCTTGCTGGAGTTAGATGATATCTCAAAGTGGTTTTGATTTGCATTTCTCTGATGATTAAAGAAGATGAGCATTTTTTCATGTGTCTGTAGGTCATGTGCCTATCTTCTTTAGAGAAGCTTCTGTTCAAGTCTCTTGCCCACAACGAAATGGAATTACTTGTTCTTTTCTTATTAATAAGTTTGAGTTCTCTGTGGATTCTGTTATCAACTGTTTGTCAGAAGCATAACTTGCAAATATCCTCCCCCATTCTGAGGGCTATCTGCTTGATTTACTTACTGTGTTCTTGGCTGTGCAGAAGCTTTTTAGTTTGATCAGATTCCAGTAATGTATTTTTGGTGTTGCTTCAATTGCCCAGGGGGTCCTCCTCATAAAGTATTCTCCCAGGCCAATTTCTTCAAGTATTTCTCCTGCACTCTGTCCAAGAATCTTTATAGTTTCATGTCTTAAGTTTAAATCGCTTATCCAGTAAGAGTCAATTTTTATTAATGGTGAAAGATATGGATCCAGTTTCAGCTTTCTACAAGTTGCTAGCCAGTTCTCCCAGCACCATTTGTTAAATAGGGAATCTTTCCCCCAATTTATATTTTTGATGGGCTTATCAAAGATCAAATGTGATAAGTGTCTGGGTTCATCTTTTGGTTCTCAATTCTGTTCCATATATCTACCTCTGTATTTTTGTGCTGGTACCATGCTGTTTTGTTCACTATAGATTTATAGTATAGTTTGAAGTCTGGTAGCATGATTCCTCCTGACTTGTTTTTATTGCTGAGTAAATGTCTTGGCTATTCAAGGTTTTTTCTGGTAAGAGAAGGCAATCAAGGGTATACAAACAGGGTCAGAGGAGATCAAACTTTCACTCTTTGCAGATGATATGATTTTATACCTGGCAAACCCCAGGGACTCAACTACAAAACTCTTAGAAGTGATCAAGGAATACAGCAGCATCTCAGGATACAAAATCAATAGTCACAAATCAGAAGCTTTTATATATACCAGTAATAGTCAAGACGAAAAAACAGTCAAGGACTCTATTCCCTTTACAGTTGTGCCAAAGAAGATAACATATTTGGGAATTTACTTAACAAAGGACATGAAAGATCTCTATAAAGAGAATTAGGAAACTCTGAGAAAAGAATTAGCTGAAGATGTTAACAAATGGAAAAACATACCCTGCTCATGGCTGGGAAGAATCAACATTATTAAAATGTCCATATTACCCAAAGCAATTTACAGATTTGAAGCAATCCCTATCAAAGCACCACCATCATACTTTAAAGATCTGGAAAAAATAGTACTTCATTTTATGTGGAACCAGAATAAATCTTTAAGTAAATTTTTATTTACAGTTAATGAATGATAGAACTGTAGAATATAGAGGAAATAATATAAAAGTGTAGGGTGATAAGACTATTAAAGTAAATTTATCACATGTGACCTTCACTCTTTCCCCAAAATATGACCTGACAGAGCCTTTCCCCTTTCTATGTATTTACTAGGGCATTAAATGTCCTATTGAGGGAATTCCTTGAAAAGCATCGTAGTGTCTGCCTCCTCAACAGACAATGGATGCTTGAGAAGAGTGTCCCAATTTCAGTGGAGATGATGGGATCCTGGAATGTCAGTGCTTAACCATTTAAGACAAGATGGACACAAATAATATATTAAACAGCAAGAACTAAGTGGTGATTAAAATACTTAGATCCTTCGATGTCTTTGATAGTAATGAATAGGTTATATCTTTAGAATGAAAGAGATGGCCAGCCTACTAAAATCCTACTTAACTTTTATAACAGTAGAAATTCTGCATTTGGTGACCAAAAAACTGACTTGAATTGCCACAGGAAAGATTTTACCAGACTTCCAGTTTTTCTGGCAGTTGATTGCCCATCCCCATTCCCACAGATGAGGACACAGTACTATAAGACTTTCCTGCAACACATTAAAATCTTCAGAGGTTAACATAACCTTGCCCATATAATAAAATCTAGGAAGAGAAGATGAGAATGAGAACAAAGACATTTCTCTATCCACCATTCTATGACAAATCCTTGTCCATGGGGCAACACTCACCAAGTGAAAGTGAATGTCTGTGGCAACCTCACCAAGTGAAAGCAACCTGGTCTTATAATTGTTTGAAGGCAGGAATTCTGAAAAGGGCATTAGCCAAATCTAAGACAGCATGATATGTTCCAAGCATAGACTTTATGTGGTCAACTACCTGAGTGATACTGGGTCTGACAATTAAGTCTACCTGCTCATCCTGGAAAAAGTGCTACATACCTCATGGCTGAATATCATTAGGGTCAGCAGAAGACCAAGGGCAGTACTTCAAAGGTAATGATATTCATCAATGAGGTATATACCATCCTTTGTAGGATGAGTTTGTGAATTTCATTATCAGACCTTGTATCAGGACCTGCAGCAGGTACGGCTGGACTTACCTTGCTCAATCCCCAGTAATCCACAGTCATCTGCCAGGTCCTATCTTGTTTGTGTATAGGCCAGAGAGAACAGTTAATGGTTTAGTAGTTACATTCATTTCAGCATGCTCTACCCCAGACAGTTTGTATTGTTTAACTTTGACAACCTACCCAGGGATAGGAATTTGTGGGGGTTCCCACTTTGTCTCTTCCCTGAGAACAGTCTTTGTCATGTGCACCTTCAAAACTGAGTTCTCCGCTGAAGTTTGCAAAGTCATTCCTAACAGAGTATCTATGCCTGAAATGTGTTCTGGAACAGAGGAAATAAACACTATATATGGAGAAAAGGGGAGCTTTTCCAGTATCTAGATGTAATAAAGTCCATTCATCTGGATCATTTGCTCTTTGTGACCATCAATGGCAAAGAATTGACAATGGTGTCTTTCCATATTTCAATGTATGAAAAAACAATGGATCCTAAAGACATGGGGAGGAATAATAAAGGGAGAAATAAAAAAGGGGAAGCTCAATAGCCCCACTTGCTCAAACATAGGTTTGAGCTAATCTCAGGCCTGGAGTAGGATCTAGTCCTGATAGACCAGGGCAGTAAAATGATCAAGGACTTGAATTGTCTTCCTCATCTGCCAGAAGGCAGAAAGACAGGGACAGAACTGCTATTCAGGCTGTGGTTCCCTGAATGAGGCTGCTAATACAGCATTAGGGTGCTTGTCTATATTTTTCTCAGACTGTCTCTGCTCCCAATAGTTCATGCCACATTTGCTACAACATAACTCTTATTTCTCCCTTCCCTCATTTCCCTTCCTTTGTGGGTTTTCTTTTTCCCCTCTCTTAGCTTTTATGAGGTTATGAGTGGACTATGTCCCTGGCTTCCCTCGTTGCTCCTAAGTTTGTTATGGCCTTTCCTACTTCATCTACATCCTTTTTCACTATAGGACTCAACAAAGATAGCAAAGGTCTGTACCATTCTCTCTTTGCCTCCTGTAGCAATTTATTTTTCATCTCTGCAGTAAAAATGGCTTTATTAGGTCCTGAAAAACTGGAGCATAGACAGTTTTCCTCATTTCTAATTCTTGCAGGCCCTGTTCAGTTGACTGTCAGGAGGTCTATGCTCCTGGTAAATCTCATTTATTATGTCAAGCCCCCTTATTGTCAGAATAATCCTCTTCCCCACAATCATTCCTTGTGTTTGCCTTGTGTTATGAAGGTGTTGCCGCAGAGCTGTGTGGGTGGTGATGCCACTGATTTT